TATAAACCTCAAGAGGAGATAAAAAATTAAGAAGGAAAAAATTGGTATGTAACTATTAAAAGTCAAGGCATAAAATGCATGCTTATATCATACTTATATCTAACTCTGAAAAGATACAGAATATAAAAATGGCAATAGAGTTTGCCTCTAAGAGCTTGGGGGTAGGTAATGAAAGAGAGACTTCATTTTGTTGTTTCTTTCTTTTCAACGCTATATATGTTAAAGACAAATATAAATGAGGCTTTAGCTTTGTAGGAAGGTATTTTCTAGTCATATCGTCTAGATGTGCCCATCACCTAATGTCAAGAATTATCAACTCACAATTAAGTTTATTTCTTCTATTTTCCCACTCTCTAACCCCTAGTTGTTTTGAAGCAAAGCACATATTTCATGTAGATATATTTCAACATAGATCTTTAAATGATAAAAAAAAAAACTTGCCCGTGTTACACAGCTCCAGTACCATCATCACACATACAAAAAAGAATAACCCCTTCATACCAGTAATCTAGCAGTGTTCACATTTATCCTACTGTCTCTATGAACATTTAGCTGATGTTCTTCAGTATCTTCTTTAACGCCAGCAACAAGTACCTTTTTCACAGTTGAGTGGGCACCTGGTCTTTGAGAACCTTCTCTTGAGACAGCCCTCTTTGGTTCCACAGCTCTCCCATCCACCTTGTGCAGCCTTGCATTCATGGCTGCATCCCCTCTTCCACAGTGGCATAGGTGACAAACCCAAAGACCCTGGAGCACTTGGTGTTGAAATGTCTCATGACCACACAGTCTGTGAGCATTCCCCATTGCTTAGAATGACTCCTCCGAGTCTTATCAGTCATACCAAAGCTCAACCCTCCAGTGAAGAGCCGCCGCAGCTGCTCGGCTCTTTAGGAGACTGACAGACATGACAGCAGTGGGAAAAGAGACTTTAATGATGCTTCTGCAGCAGTGGCCATGGGTAGAAAGGGGGTTCCTATTAAATGCAGCAGAACACAATTCCTAATTCAAGAGGTATACCCAGCCCATCATTAAATATACTGTATGAAGTAACATTTCTGAATTTCCACCAGCTACATGTGTCTGTGATGTACAGTGAGGTTCGTCATTTACTTCTCTCAGAAGAATGCTCACTTTTTCCAAGACAAAAAATATCCTCTATGAGGGAAAAATGCAAAAGAAGACATTAACATTGTATAATAGAAAAAATCATAAAGGAGCTTTTCTCAAACAAATAATGGTATTCATTAATCTTGAATGTTTAATAAAAAGAAGATGGTATACTTTGTTAGGAAAATAAGTTATCTTGTTCCACTATAGTAATGCTCAGATGGATGGAAAGAAAAAAAAAAAAGCAGCATCGTTTTGCTAGCCCTAAAAGTTGTGTTCCTGAAAACCATGCCAAGAAAGTGTGTGGCTGAGGAACTGCAACACTTCATGGGAAACAAACAGAGGAATCAAAGTAGGACAGGAGGAAGCCTGACAAACTCAGTGTGCTTTTAAAAATGTTCACTAATATGGAACAGTCCACTAAAGATAATGTCAATGACATTAATGTACAATTAATTGTTTTTTTTTGTTATTCCTTTCTCATCACCACATTTCCAGGATTTCTTTCTTTCTCCTTCCTTCCTTTCTTCCCTCCTTCCTTCCTTCTTTCTTTTTTGTTTTCTTTCTTTTTCTTTCTGACAGAGTCTTGCTCTGTCACCCAGACTAAAGTGCAGTGGCACGATCTCAGCTCACTGCAACCTCTGCCGCCTGCGTTCAAGCAATTCTCCTGCCTCAGCCTCCCAAGTAGCTGGGACTACAGGCATGCACCACCACCATGCCCAGCTAATTTTTGTATTTTTTTGTACAGACAAGGTTTTGCCATGTTGCCCAGGCTGGTCTTGAATTCCAGGGATCAGGTGATCCACCCACCTTGGCTTTCCAGAGTGCTTGCTGGGTGCATGGAATTTTGATAGCTCTTTAGTCTCCTTTTGTCTAAACAGCTCTCTGCCTTTTTTTTTTTTTTTTTTTTTTTTTTTTTTTGTCTTTTGTTTCATTGTTACTTTGTAAGAGTCCAGGCCAGTCATCTGTAGCCTGGCATATAATTTAGATTTCTCTAATTGTTTGCTTTGATTGGATTCTGGTTAAACATTGTGGGCAGAAATACTACCTAGCTAATTTGTGTACTTGTATGGCATTAAGTGAGGAGGCACAGAATGTCACTTTGTTGCATTATTATGAATACTAAATTTGATCACTTGGTTAAAAGACTATCCATCAGTTCTCTCCATAGTAAAGGCACCTGTGTATCTTGATGCTTAAGGAACCTGGTAGTGTTGGGATACTTGGCACAGTGTGAACATCCTGTTTCCCAGTATATTTTACCTAATAGTTTTCATATTCCCTGATGGTCTTCACCTGAATAAGTTATTATGCTGAGGGTTGCAAAATGGTCATTTTCAAATTTATTAAAATTTCCATCTTAGCTGATAGTCTCTGTAAAGAAGAGCTTCCCATTCTCTTTTATGTGAGATATCACCATGATGCCCAAATTCTTCATTTATTCAATGTGTAATAATGTGTTACCATCATTAAAATTTTTAAATTATGCTCAAATTGTCCTCAGTTTGGCCAGTGGGAGCCCCATAAGCTGGTTTGTGTATTTATTTACATCTCTCCATCAGTCTTTGTGCACTTTCTTTCTGGAACAAGAAGAAAAAGGACCATCTTGTACTTTCTCTGCCCCAGCCCTGGCACTGGCCATTTATTTGACAGACCCTGAAACCTTGTAATGGAAAATGGTGTTCAAAAATTAGGATCCAGTTGGGCACCATGGCTCACACCTGTAATCCCAGCACTTTGGGAGGCTGAGGCGGTTGGATCACTTGAGGCCAGGAGTTTGAGACCAGCCTGGCCAACAGAATGTGACCATGTCTCTACTGAAAATACAAAAATTGGCTGGGCATGGTGGTGGGCACCTATAATCCCAGTCACTCGGGAGGCTGAGGCAGGAGAATTGATTGAACCCGAGAGGCAGATGCAGTGAGCTGACATTGCACCACTGTACTCCAGCCTGGGTGACAGTGAGACTCCATCTCAAAAAAAGAAAAAATGAAATTAGGATCTGAATGTTAGGTATGCTCATTTGTACTAGGTGTCATTGTTTCTAGGTCCAGGAAACATATGCTTCTTGGTTTGGGTTCTGTTGTTTGTTTGAGACAGGGTCTTGCTCTGTCACCCAGGCTGGAGTGTAGTGGTAGAATCACTGCAGCTTCAACCTCCTGGGTTCAAGCAGTCCTCCCACCTCAGCCTCCTCAATAGCGGGAACCACAAATGCAAGCCACTGCACCCGGCTAATTAAAAATTTTTTTTTGTAGAGATGGGGTCTCACTGTGTTGCCTACGCTGGTCTTGGACTCCTAACTCAAACCACCCTCCTGCCTTGGCCTCCCAAAGTGTTGGGATTACAGGCATGAGCCACTGCACCTGGCCTATGTTTCTTTGTTTTTGAAAATGTTGATTTAACACTTTGTGATGAAGTAACTTGAAGGATTTGTCCTAAGCTGAGTGTATCTCAGGGCTGGGCTTGAATATCTGTCACTCGAGAAAGAGACCCCACCAGGCTTAGTGCTCAGAATCCAGTATTCACATATGATGAGGTTTGTTGTTAATTATAGTGAATGTAAATCCTTATTTCAATAATCTTTTTGATAATTTTGAATTTGTTGACTTAGTCCAGAGTAAGAATTGATTAGCTCACCATTGTTTTTCCTCCAAATGTGGCTGATTAAGAGCTTGTACCAGGTACAGGGAAGCATTCTTGCATTTTCTTATTTCCTTGTGCTGTGTTAATAGTCTTATCCTCAGTCTGAGGTTTCTTTGCAGGATTTTCTTTTAAAGCTGCTTGTCTGTTTTGTGGGGACTGCTTTTGGAAAGCTGCTAATATGATCTGTGCAGCAATGAACAGGGCACACACAACCTGAGGGGCATGGGCAAGTTCCATGGGAATGAAAGCGAAGGGCCCTGTCCCAAAGTGGCACTCGGCTGTCTGCAGACCGGATCATGTGAGCAGCCAGTGACAATCCACATATTAAATCTTGGTAAAGCTTTGTTTCTTTTTTAGATAAAGTTAGCATAAATGTTCTACCTATTGCAGTTTCTAATTGCAGTTTCTTTTTTTGTTGTTGTTGTTACCCAGGCTGGGAGTGCAGTGGCGCGATCTTGGCTCACTGCAACCTCCACCTCCCGGGTTCAAGTGATTCTCCTGCCTCAGCCTCCTGAGTAGCTGGGACTACAGGCACCTGCCACCATGCCTGGATAATTTTTGTATTACTATTATTTTATTTTTTTAGTAGAGACGGGGTTTCACTGTTGGCCAGGCTGGTCTCAAACTCCTGACCTCATGATCCGCCCACCTCGGCCTCCCAAACTGCTGGGGTTACAGGCGTGAGCTACTGTGCCCGGCAATTGCAGTTTCTTTCTGCAGCAAATGGGGCATGTTGCTCCCCTCCCACCCTGGGTGTGTGACCCCACTTGGAAAATGCCTGCTTGGGGCCTCTGTGGCTGATTCCCAGCTGCTTTCCCTGCTTCCTCTCTGGCTGATACAGCCAGTGTGGCTAGAGTGAAGAGTGACTGTAGGCATGTGATTGCCGAGGCAAGTAGGGCAGAGAATGAAGGGCCACTTGCTCCAAGTCAAGAAATACACACAGGCTGACACCATGGCTCATTCCTGTAATCCTAGCACTTCAGGAGGGTAAGGTGGGAGGATCATGTTCAGGAGTTTGATTCCAGCCTGGGCAACATAGTGAGATCCCCCCCCCACCCCATTCTCTACAAAAAATACAAAAATTAGCCACACCTAGTGGTGTGTGTCTGTGGTCCTAGTTATTCAGGAGACTGAGGTGGAGGAGTTCGTGAGCCCAGGAGGTCGAGGCTGCAGCGAGCAGAGATTGTACCACCACACCCCAGCCTTGGCAACGGGGCGAGACCCTGCCTCACTTTTAGAAACCCTTACTTTTACTATGATGGTTGCATAGTTCAGCAGATTGCATCATGAAGAGATGTACCATCTATCTGATGTAAAAAAAAAATTTAAAAACCCTGACTTTACGGTAGGGCAGGGTAGAGAGAGAATAAACCCGAACTCCCCAACCCACCATTGCCCACAGTGTTGATATAATACTTGTAAATTTGGGCAAGAGATGAAGGGATGACTTTGCTATCAGTCAAGGTCAGAGTGCTAATGTGACCCAGGCAGTGGGAGGGTGAATGCAAGTTAATAAATAAAGTGAAAAAAAATGTGTTCACAGGAGTACAACTTCTATGCATAGCTCAGATGTGGGATTTCAGAAGAAATTAATCCTCAGCGTGGAGGTATGTTCGAGTTTATGCTCCGAGAGAAAGCCAGAGTCAATGGAGGTCTCACTGCCACCCAAAGATCCAAGCTTGCCTCCTCTCAGGGGGTGTGGGTGTGGGGCTGGGGGGAGAAGCAAGCAAGACTTGAGTTTAGGAGTCCTCTCTGCAGAGCCAGCAGTAACTCAGGAAAAGACATTGATTTTCCATAGAAGCCTAAGGTTGCAAAATTTGCAAGACACAGAAAAAAGAAGATGGGCTTTCAATTATTTTTGCTGGGAGGATTGGTTTGCTTTGGGTAAAAGGAGGTATAGTGGAGAAGGAGGGACAAAAAATAGGGAGAGCGGCCAGGTGCGGTGGCTCACACCTGTAATCCTAGCACTTTGGGAGGCCGAGGTGGGCGGATCACTTGAGGTCAGGAATTCGAGACCAGCCTGGCCAACCTAGTGAAACTCCATCTCTACTAAAAATACAAAAACTATCTGGGCATGGTAGCACATGCCTATAATCCCAGTTACTTGGGAGGCTGAGGCAAGAGAATCGCTTTAACTCAGGAGGCAAAGATTGTAGTGTCCGAGATTGTGTCACTGTACTCTAGCCTGGGTGACAGGGCGAGACTCCACCTCAAAAAAAAAAAAAAAAGACACATCTTTCAGGGTGGACACAGGATTTTGCCAGTAAATAGCAAACACTTTGCTCAGGTAGGAGAGGCTTCTGGCCCTTTGTACGCGCTTTCCTGGGGCAGAACAATTGGCCACCGGGACATTAGTCATAAGTTGTCCTTTCCCTTGAGGCTGATTGCATGAGCAGTTTCTTTCCTGCTCTCCAAGCCATCATACAGCATACTGGCATGGCGTTTGGACAAAGATTTTCTACCTAACTTTGTAATTATATGGAATCTCTCTGAGAAAGGTCCACCCAGATACTGGTATGACTTACTAGAGAACAGTAATTTACAGCTGTAATTTGTTTATCCATGTGTATCCCTAGAGGAGGAAAAGTCTTGATTGTATGGAAGGTGTGGGGTCTTAAGATCCATGTAGGAGAATTGACTCAGGGCTTCCCCTGGTCATCTGCTGGGCACGGCTCCTTTGTGGACCCCCAGGCATCAAGGAATAGCTGCACACCCACAGATGGTGACCAATTTGGATAAATGGAGCTGATCATTCACTCTTCAGAGTGCTAGAGACTGTCACCTGAAAAATCATGAGATCTCCTTTGGAAAGGAGATCTTTATTTCTTAGAAGGGGATTCAGCCTCTGGCTGAAAAACTGAAAGCAAACTCTTTGAAGGAGAAGAGGCTGGGAAGGGATTTATACTGAAGTTGGCCAAGTATAGGTATTCAACAGGTTGTAGGAGGAGCTATGAATATTCATGAAAGGGGTCCTGATGATGCATATTGAACAAACATGCATTTATTTTTTCCTGTCTTGCCCTCCTGCCCAGGCTGGAGTGCAGTGGTGTAATCGTGGCTCACTGCAACCTCGACCTCCTAGGCTCAAGCTATCCTTCCACCTCAGCCTCCCGAGAAACTGCGACTACAGGTGCACATCATCAAGTCTGGCTAATTTTTGTATTTTTTTGGAGAGACAGGGTTTCATCATGTTGCCCTGGCTTGTCTCAAACACCTCTCAAGCAAAGGAAAGGACAAGAAGCAGTGATACAGAATATAACAGTGCCAACAGTTGTCTGAGCATAACTGTGTAACAGCATTACGACTACTGCATCTCAACTCATGTTATAGCAAGCATTTCAATTATACAATAATGTCTTTGATCAAAGCATTCTGTAGTTCAGGAGGGTGCAGAAAGCAGCCCAAAGATCCAACAAAACAAATAAGAATCAAAAAAGTTCAAAGAGCGAACTATCAGGAACCTAGGAAGTCAGAGAAAATGGGGATAAGTTCTAGATGAACAGAATTTACATACAGAATTCCAATCCATTTCTGAGGCAATAATTTTCTCACTGGTAGGTGACACTCCAGCCACCCACAAACCTCGTGCCCCTTGTCTTGGTGGAGCTCCCCTTAGTCCCCCAACTGAGTCTGAGGGGGCCTCTGTATTTTCCCTCTCATTGCTCCCTCCAGCAGCCCTGACTGCCAGGCGCCTCAAATACACTGCTAGCTCAGAACCCCTCAGGCTTGGTCATAATTGTTGTGATGTTGTATCCGTGAGGGCTGGACTTTATCTTTCAATTTTATAGCCCCAGGACTGCCCAGAGCCCAGTATACAGGATGAGTTTAATCCATGTTTTTGAGTTAATGACTAATTCATAAATCCATAATAATCAAGCACACTAAGTTTCAGCAAACATCTCAACAATCCATAGCTATCAGAGTAACTTTTTTCTTTTCCCTTTTTTTTTTTGAGAGACGGGGTCTCACTCTGTCACCCCAACCGGAGTGCAGCGGCACAATCGCAGCTGACTGCAGCCTCAACCTCCTGGGCTCCAGCGATTCTCCCATCTCAGCCTCCCAAATAGTTGGGACCACAGGTGCACACCATCACATCTGGCTAATTTTTTAAATTACTTGTAGAGATGGGGTCTCCCTATGTTTCCTAGGCTGGTCTTGAACTCCTGGGCTTAAGTGATCCTCAGCCTCCTAAAGTGCTGGGATTACAGGAATGAGACACTGCCTAGAATAACTTTTTTTCTGAGATTGTTACTTTAATCTTCATAAGAACATAACATAAGACTATTCTTCTTTAAAGTATGGAATTTTTGTTTTTGTTGTTGTTTTTGTTTTGTTTTGTTTTGTTTGAAATGGAGCCTGGTTGATTTTGTCCAGGCTGGAGTGCAATGGCGCCATCTCGGCTCACTGCAACCTCTGCCTCCCAGGTTAAAGTGATTCTTCTGCCTCAGCCTCCTGAGGAGCTGGGATTACAGGCACCCACCACCATGCCTGGCTAATTTTTGTATTTTTAGTACAGATGAGATTTCACCATGTTGGCCAGGCTGGTCTCAAACTCCTGACCTCAGGTGATCTGCCTACCTCGGCCTCCCAAAGTGCTGGGATTACAGGCGTGAGCCATTGCGACCAGCCTAAAGTATGGAATGTTTTATTGGAGGCTTTAAATTATTTTATTTCAACCAGAGAGCTAACTTGTAAATAATCCATGTAAAATCATCAGCCTGTCCCACAATACATACTAATTCGTTAAATTAACAAAAGCTTAATCTAGGTACTAAGACTACATCAGCAAACAAAAAAGACAGGGAGTCCCTAGTCTCCTAAAACTTACATTCTAGTTGGGGGAGGATTCGCAGTATGGAAAATAATGTCAGTTGATTAATAAAGAAAAATAAAGCAAGGTAAGGGGGTTAAGAGTGACTGGGGGAAAATCTGCCTAGTTAGAGTCAGGGAGGCCTCTCTAATAAGCAGACATTTCAGTCAAGGCCAGAAGGAAGTTAGGGCTGTATGTCTGTGGATAACTGGGGAGGCAACTTAGAGGAACAGCAAGTACCCTGGGCCTGTGGTAGAAGTGAGCCTGGGATTTTGAATTACAGGAAAACCAGTGAGGCCAGAGCAGTCAGTGATGGGGAGAGTTCCAATATGTGAAATCAGAAAAACAGCAGATTCTCTGGGGCCTTCTAGGACACAGTAAAGATCTTGTATTTTATTCTGAGTGAGATAGGGAGCTCTGGGAGGGTTGAAAACTAAGGAGGGACTTGGGTTTTAAATGGTCACTCTGGACCAGGCACAGTGGTTCACGCCTGTAATCCCAGCACTTTGGGAGGTTGAGGCAGGAGGATTGCTTGAGCCCAAGAGTTCAAGACCAGCCTGGACAACATAGTGAGACCTCATTTCTAAAAAAAATAAATTTAGGCCGAGCGTGATGGCTCACGCCTGTAATCCCAGCACTTTGGGAGACTGAGGCGGGCAGATCACTTGAGGTCAGGAGTTTGAGACCAACTTGGCCAACATGGTGAAACCTGTCTCTTTAAAAAATATGAAAATTAGCTGGGCATGGTGGAGCATGCCTGTAATCCCAGCTACTCGGGAGGCTGAGACAGGAGAATTGCTTGAATCCGGGTCACAGAGGTTGCAGTGAGCCAAGATCGTGCCACTGCACCCCAGCCTGGCAACAGAGAGACTCTATCTCAAAAAAAAAAATAATAGTAATAATACATAGGTGGTTGCAATAATCCAAGTGAGAGTCCTTGGTGTCGTGGACCAGAGTTGTAGTGGATGAGATAGAAATATTTGGATTCTGGATATATTTCAAAGGTAACACTGAAAGGATTTGAATGTGGAGTGTGAGAGAGATTAATGCATCCAAGGATGAAATTTCTGTGGGGAGCAATTGGAGGATGGTGTTACCACTTATTGAATTGGGGAAGATTTGGGAAGAAATGGGTTTGGGGATTAGCAGATGCTGTGATGTCCTGTCCTGCATCCTCCTGGCCTACCGCTGTGTTTATTTGCGACCAGGGTGGATACTTCCCATGTGTACTGATGGCTTCCACCTCAAGTTCACCCTCATCCCTCTACTTCCCTGCCTGTGAGATCTCTCCAATGCCAGGGACCTTGTTCAGCTTGGCTGCATGGCAGATCAGAAGTGCTGGGGACCTAAATTCCCCAGGCAACCCTCAGCCAGTGAGGCGTAGGGTAAGAAATTATTGGGTGAGTAACCCAGCTTCTCTTGCCATGGCGAGACTGTGCTGAGATGCCTTCTACAGGACTCCTCAGAGGGTATCCAGCAGGATTTAGCTTCACTTGCCCACAGTAATA